GTCGGGGAATGTCGTGGTGGTTCGCGCTGCAATGCCAACATTCTGGGTGGGTGAGGAGGGAGGATCGCTTGAGCTCAGGAGTTCAGGACCAGCCTGGGCAACATAGAAACATAGAGAGGCTGTGTCTCTACAAAAAAATAAAAACAGCAGTGGTGGTATGTGCCAGTAGTCTCAGCTACTCAGGAGGCTGAGATGGGAGGATTACCCGAGCCAGGGAAGTTGAGGCTGCCGTGAGCTGTGATTGTGCCTCTGTACTCCAGCCTGGGTGACAGAGTGAGAATGTGGCTCAAAAGAAAAAAAATATTGGGGCAATCTATAAGGCATCACGTCTCACCTTGGAGTAACCACAAAAAACAGTTTCTGACACTTGCCCCACTGTGCTCTTTGCGGACTGCAGTTTTGGAAGGTTGGATAGACAACTTTGCTTCAAGAAAAAACGGGTCTCTACTGTCCGGATTTCTGGATTCCCCGGTGAAGCTGCAGTTCCCACAGCTGCAAGCACACAGATGAGTGGAAGCTGCTGGGGCTGTGGCACAGCCACTTAGAACCTCAGTCTCTTCTTTCATTCCATGGGTGTGCTGACAATACCCTCCCCTGGGGACGGTGGCATGATTCAGTGGCTAGGGTGGTTCTGACAGCCCTGGCTCCCAGGACATCCTTCACACCTGGGCACCTGAGATGGCCGGTCACTGGCCAGAGACACAGACACCACCCACACGCATGCTGCCGGAAGATGCCTACAAACCTCTGCTGGGTGCGCGCGGCCGTCCACCGTGTGCTCCGAGCCCCACTCGTCTGCTGCGCCCCAGTGGAAGTGGAACTGCTTCAGCCTGTAGTGGTTCTCCAGGGGCCCGCCACTGATCCCTGGAAGGGAAGCAGGGATGCTGTGTCGTGGGGTCCACCGTGTAGGTGACCCATGTGCATTCGTGAGGATGGTGGCATCATCGTGGGGGTGAGGGGCTACAGGCAGGCTGTGGGAGGGGGCTGTGTCTGTTCTGTTCACCTTGTTCCTGGCACCCGGCCCAGTTCCACACCCGGCAGGGTCACCCTAAGTGCCAAGGGGTTGCAGGTTCCAAGTGCCGCTACGAGGGGACAGACACAACTGAGGCCTTTCCTGAGATGCATGCTGGTCCTGAAAGATTTCCAGAATGTTCTTTTTTTTTTTAAGCTGGAGTCTCACTCTGTCACCAAGGCTGGAGGGCAGTGGCATGCTCACAGCCACCACAGCCTCAACGTGCGGGGCTCAGGCGATCCTTCCACCTCAACCTTCCAAGTAGCCGGAACCACATGCATGTGCCACCAGGCCTGGCTAATTTTTGGTTTATTGTAGAGACGGAGTCTTGCCAAGTTGCTCAAGCTGGTCTCGAACCCTGGGCTCAGGCAATCCTCTAGCCTTGGCCTCCCACAGGGCTGGGATGACAGGCGTGAGCCACCGAGCCCGGCTCAGAATTTTCTTTAACTAGAAAAAGGTGTGTTTGACTCCCCGCAAGAAACTCTGCGGCTGGAGGCCCTTAACAGAAGCCAGGAAAGCAGATCCAGGTCTCAATTCGGCAGGGACGAGACGCTTCCTGGCCACCTCCCTCCACTGAAAAGGAGGGTATTGGTCTCACCTGTCATCAGTCTCATCCAGTTTCTAAATTCTGTGATTTTTTCAGGTGCAGTGGCTCAAGCCTGTAATCCCAGCACTTTGGGAGGCCAAGGCGAGAGGATTGCCTAAGCGCAGGGGTTCGAGACCAGTCTGAGCAATTTGGTGAGACCTTGTCACTACAATAAAAAATAAGCCAGGCATGGTGGTGCATGACTGTAGTTCCAGCTACATGGAAGGCTGAGGTGGAAAGATCACCTGAGGCCAGTAGGTCGAGGTTGTGGTGGCCATGAGTGTGCCACTGCCCTCCAGCTTGGGTGACAGAGTGAGACTCCAACTCACAACAAAAAACAAACACAATTCTGTGATTTTACAAGTAAACTTTTTTATTTTTATTTTTTAAATTTATTATTTTTTTTTTTGAGTTGGAGTCTCACTCTGTCGCTCAGACTGGAGTGCAGTAGCTGCTCCCAGCCACCACAGCCTCGACCTGCTGGGCTCCGGCG